TCACATGCAAGTAACATTTTGCTAAAGATAAGTCTAAAAAGGTTGCAGTGCTACATTAACAGGGAACTGCCAGAGGCTCAAACTGGATTCAGACAACATGGAAAGACGGATATCACTGATAATGTCAGATGGATATTGGCTGAAAGCAGAGAATACCAGAAAGATGCCTACTTTTGTTTTATTGACTATGCAAGGGCTTTTGACTATGTAGATCATGACAAACTATGGATAAAATTGCAGAGAGTGAGTATTTCCGAAACACTTAATTGTGCTCCTGAGGAACCTATATATAGACAAAGAGGTAGTTGTTTAAACAGAACAAGGGGATACTGACTGGTTTAAAATCAGAAAGGTGTGCACCGGGGATGTATTCTTTCACCATACTTATTCAATGTATATGCAGAGCAAATGAACAAGGAGTGAAGAAAAATGTGGTATCAGAATTGGAGGACAATTCATTAACAACTTGCGATATGCCCATGATACAACCTTGCTTTTTGAAAGTGAAGAGGACTTAAAACACTTACTGATGAAAATCAAAGACCACAGCCTTCAGTATGGGTTGTACTTCAATGTAAAGAAAATAAAAGTCCTCACCAGTGGAACAATAAATAGGATCACGATAAATGGAGAAAAGATTGATGTTGTCAAAGACTTCAATTTGCTTGAATCTACTATTAACACTCATTAAAAGAGCAGTTAAGAAATTATATATTGAATTAGGCTATAAGTTTATTTCCTACTTGAAGGAGACTGACAGCTACAGTCTCTCGGGTGTACTGGTCTCTACTAAATTCATTTTAATATACTGTTTTGGCTAATGTATTGTCTAGCCTCACACAGACATGTAATTGAAAAACAGAGTATTTTAATAGTCTTTTCAGTGTTTTTGAGACTAGCATCATACTTTGGTATGCAGCAGAAAGTGCTTTATGAGTTCTTGCCATTTCAATACACCAAACATTGAAAAGGTCTGTATGATCTATAAAATCAATAATATGGTATCACTGCCTTGATTAGTGTTAAGTACCAGTATTACAGGGCTGCTATGGGTTGGAACTCACTTTGATGGCTCTTAGCAACAACAAAAACACCACCACCAGTAGTTTTACTCACTATTATTTTGTACTCTAAACACAGATGTCAAATAACCCTCTTGGCTATTATTATGAAAACAGTTTTGACTGTAAGTTCCCTAAAAGGTCTCACTCAGGGACCCCACAAGTCTAGAGACCACACTTTGAAAATCACTGTACTATATTAAGTCACACACAAAAAATTATGTGGAAGGCTGATCAATGACATGAAGAAATAAATATGTTCAAACATAAACCAAAAAAAAAAAAAAAGGAACCTACTGTCATTGAGTCAATTCTGACTGACAATATCCAGGGTTCCTGAGACTGCAAATCTTTATAGGACTAGACCGCCTTGTCTTTCTCCCATGGAGTGGCTGAAAAATCAATCATAGAAAACTCACTGAGGCCCAGTTCTACTCTGACACACATTGGTAGTCATGAGTTGAAACTACCTTAGCAGTAAGCAACTGGTTAAAAGGCTGACTTTATGTTTTATGTGTAGCTTGAATGGTTTAACAACCAAAAATGATTCATGGTATTACTCCTATTCATATAATAAACTAAGAAAAGAAGTGAATATACAAAATTCTGGTAGGATACATAATAGGGTTAGATGTGATTATCTATCAATGGGCTCCTGGTGTAGCACTGTAGAATCAACACTGGACTTGTGAACCACGAGGTCAGTAGTTTAAATCCACCAGCTGATTCTTGGAAACTCTATACAGGGTCACTGTGAGTGGGAACCACTTGATGGCACTTAACAATAACAACAATAGAACTATGGGTGATTCTTCTTTACTTTTCTGGATTTTTCTAGTTTTCATACAACAACCATATAGTTCTTACTTCAGAACAGTTATTTTTATTTTTAAAAAAGCAATCAAAGGCTTTGGAGAGTACTTATAAACCATAAGGTGAGCTAATTAAATTCTGGTTAATGCAACTCTGTGCCAGAGTATGGGTCTCAGATACTAAAGTCACATGTGCTATATAACGAGATGTTATAATCAAAGTTGACATCCTCCCAAATATATGTACTCAAAGGAATTAAATAACGCATGAAAGCACAATACATATAAACACACATATATATATATTTCATATAAAGTAAATTGTTTTTATTATTTGAAAAATAATAATGTATAAAATACAAATTGCAGCTTGCATAGTGCAATTGGTATCCTTAGTTATAATCTTTTTTCTTATATACATGAAACAAAAAATGTTCTGTTTAATTTTCATTGGTCTGCTCCACCAGTATCATTTTAAATACATATAAGAGCTTCTTCTAAAGACAGTAAGGACAGTTTATAGAATAACTATGCTTTCTTCATCTAGAAAATAGAATTTATAAGACAGGAATATTTTATATCATATAAGTGCCATATAACTACTATACTATCAAATTATGGCACATTCCATTTAGAAAACAGGACAATAACATGGTTTCTTAAAGCAATCGTGAAGGAAACCTAATTTAGTATTTTAGTCTATGCCTGTACTCACTTGGGCTCTCATAACGCCTAAATATGTTATGTGGAAAGCTGATTTAAGAAATGAAAAATAGCTCTTTTATAATACAGTAAAACACACAAGATTTCTGGAAACTTCCAACTTAACTAAAAAGACCCTTTTTTTTTGTTTTGGCCATTGATTTCTTGCTGGTATTAGCTAAGGTTCCATGTCCCTTGGAAAACCATTCAGGCAGTTTCCTCTTTGAGATTTCAGCTGAAGTCTATAAGAAAGAAAAAGAAAAACATTTTTTACTACTCAGAATGTGTATTCGTTGCAAAAACTAGCTAGCTAAGTTCACTGAATATACTACCCTCCCCACAACCATGCCACCAAATAAGACAAAATAGTGAGACCTACAGAATTTATCTTTTGGTAAATGAATTATCTCGAGTGAAGATAATTGTTGGAAAGAAAAGAAATAAAGATTATTTTAGATCCATGTCCCATGATATAATTGACTCTGGGTTGACCAAAGTGGTGAATTTAATTTTCTGAGGAAAGTATCTGTGTTAGAATATAAATACACCCATATAATACTATATTAGCCCAAAACACACATTGCCATGAGTCAATTCTGACTCATAATGACCCAAAAGGATAAGGAAGAACTGACCCACTGTTTCTAAGGCTTAGTCTTTTCAGAAGCAGATTGTCACATCTTTCTCCTGTGGAATGACTGGTGTGTTTGAACTGCTGATCTTAAGACAAGCAGTCACACACTTAACTACTGTGTCACAGAGTTGCTTAGTGTTGTACTATAGTTGTTCTTGTTGTTACATGCCATTGAGTCAGTTCCAACTCATAACAACCCTGTATTGGGTTCCCAAGGTTTTAAATCTTCACGAAAGCAGAAAGTCTCATCTTTCTCCTGCAAAGCAGCTGACAGGATCGAATCATGGACCTTGTGTTTTGCAGTCCAGTGCTTACCATACGGAGCCACCACGTGCATTAGGTATACTGTGTTTTTAGGTATGTGAAAAGAATATAATTATTAGTGTCTACATTGGATGACAAGGAACTTTGGTAGCGTAGTGGTTACAAATCAGGCTGCGAACCTTAAGGCCAGCAGTTCGAAACTACCAGCCGCTCCGTGGGAGAAAGATGAGGCATTCTGTTCCCGTAAAGATTTACAGCCTCGGGAAACCTGTACAGGGTCGTTATGGGTCGGAACCGACTCGATGGCACTTAAGAACAACAAACATTGGATGACAGACTAGAAAAGTGTCTCCTTAGCACCTTGCTGAGTGCCCAAGATAACAGACACTAAAAAAATTTCACTAAGTGGGAAAAAATTTCTGTCTCATGCACTCCTTTTAGCATTTGATGAAAACTGAAGCTCCCAGTTCCAGGAAAAACACAAATGTACACAGTAAGTGCAGGACTTTGCACGCTATTTCAAGAGGCAAATGCACCAAATGAAGCCCCTGAACCCTTGGTTTAAATCCTTGACAACATTTTTTCAAGAAGACAAAAGTAATAGTTGTATACATACTATATCATCTGCACATGCAAAAGATAAGGCAATTTTACAGAAGTCACTATTTCATGGGCCTAAAATGGCATATATTTAGGTTATTTCAGTTTGAGCAATAGCTCCTCAGAATAACATGATAGAGAAATCGTTCTAACATGAGTACACATTGCATTTCTGCAGACATTACTTAGTTATTGGCGATCTTTGAAGGACTTTATACGAACAGTTATGAAAATGGGGCAAGACCAGGGCAACATTTTGGTCTGCTCTATATGAGGGCCCCATGATGGAGTGAGACTCAGCAACAACTGTCAATGTCATCAGGTGGTCTCATCTAAGTTACAATGTATCAGCAGAAGCAACATAATGCTCACCAACTCATTGATATGTTTTATTATGCTTTGTATATTTACGAAAAGTTTCAAAATACTGAAGAGTAGAGAAATAGCAAAAGATTTTTAGTCAAAGACTGCAAAATTTTATTTTTAATCAAGGGCAAACACGTTAGCTGTTAGAAATCCAGTGAAAATGAGCTGCTCACATGTCAGAAAAAACTAAAGGAAAAAATCAAAACAAAACCACTAACTAAAACAGCAATTTTGTTCATATTTTCTCACAGAGAAGAGAAGACGGGCGATGAAAATAGATGAGATATTTGTATACTGTAAGAAGTACAGTAAAACCTGGGAAAGCAAGACCTTGGGTATGGTGGAAATCTATCAGAGAAGGGAAACTTAGATATTTTCCACTAATAGCACTAGAAAAGTACTAAGACTGTTTCCTGTCAGCGACAGAAACTGTGCAAACTCTGGAAAAACAAGACAGGCAGTCCCATCTAGTTCCACCTCTCACAGGCTTCCCTGTATTACGTTTCACATGGTTGCTGTTGTTGTTAAGTGCCCTTGAGTCCGGTCCGACTCTTAGCGACCCTACATGAGGGTTTCTGAGGAGCAGCTGATGAGTTTGAACTGCCGATCTAGAGGTTCAAAACAGACCTTGCAGTCTGTGCTTATCCTCTGGCACACAAAAAATATTAGGGATCTAAAGTGACACAACAACAAGGAAGTTTTAGGAGAAATAACATTTGTTGTTGTTAAGGGCCATCAAGTTGGTTCCAAACTCACAGCAACCCTATATACAGTTTCTAAGGAGTGGCTGGTGGCCAATCTTGCAGTTAGCAGTACAGTGCTTATCCTACAGCACCACACCAGGACTCTAGATAAATATGTCCCAAAATATCCATGCTTTCCAAAGATCTTAATATCAAAAATCCTTTTAAGCCATAGACAACTACAGTTGCTTGCACTGAAGAGTTTTAGTCCTTTGCAGGCAACGAAGTCAATTATGACAGTAAACAAAATAAAACATCTGAGTAGTAACAGTGCAGAGGAAAAATAACCCTGTCTTATAGCCTCATAACACAACAGAACATGCATGGAATTTGAAACCAGATAGAACTAGGTTTCAATCCTAACTGAACCACTTGCTAAACAAGTGACCATGCATGCTACAGAAGCCTCAGTTTATTCATACAAATAATGTGGATAAAAATACATAAAACTGCTGTACTGTTGTGGAAGTTAAATAAGAACACACACAAATATCAATGTATATCTTGTTTTGTTTCAGGTACTTTTAATTGGCAGTTAGTATCATTTAAAGTTTTTTATCTTACATAACATTTCTATAGAATATGATCTTTAGCATTTACCCTGTAGTTATAATGATGATCTTATTTCATAGAGAAAAGGAAGAAAATGCTTGTTCACATTGAATGTGTCTTTTGAGTCTCAAAAATAAGTATCTGAAGAGACTTCAATTATGAAGTCTAAGTCACCTAACATTGACCATTTCCTTCATCAATCAAAAATCCCCAGCAATCATAGTAAAATTTCCAGGGGCAGCTTATAACTTTTTGATATTTCAAATTCCATTAACAAATTATTAGCATTAAATTGAAAATAGAAAACACTAGCTTGTTTGCTAACATTTTGTGTACATATGTTATTGTTAAGTGCTGTCAAGTAGGTTCTGACTCATAGTGACTCTGCATATGGTTTCTGAGTCTTAATATTTTCAGAAGCAGAAAGCCTCATTTTTCTCTAGTAGAGAGACTGGTGGGCTCAAACCAATGACCTTGTGGTTCACAATCCTGTGCTAATCCCACAGAGTCACCATGCTCCCTTTGTGCACATTTGTAAGTAGGTGAACAGAGAAATATGTTTATTATATTCACGTTTAATTTCATCTGCAACAAAAATAAATTTAAACATATTAGTCATCAAGGAGCTCTGGTAACGTAGTGGTTACAAATCGGGCTGCGAACTGCAAGGTCAGCAGTTCGAAACTACCAGCTGCTCCGCGGAAGAAAGAAGAGGCTTTTTGCTCCCGTAAAGATTTACAGCCTCAGAAACCCTGTTCAGGGTCGCTATGGGTTGGAACCAACTCGACAGCACTTAACAACAAGTCATCAAGTGTAAAATATTTCTCATGAGAACTATTTTACTAAATCAATTTTACCTGTGAATTAGATTCTGTAAATAAATCTTCTATTTCTGGATCACTGGATGGAGAGTTCCAAGAAGTCACTGTATTTTTTTGACTCTCATCTCTTGCTGAGAAATTGCCAGGATATTTTCTATCAACCTTTAAAGTTTTTATGAAATACAAAATAGTTACATCATGTACTATTTCCTTAAACATATAATAAAAAACACTATGCCTAATTATAGTGACCAATGGGTAGATATATGAATAGACACGCAGGTTGAACGGGTGTGGGAGGGAGAGTGGGAGCATACCCATAAGTATATAAAGGTTTAACAGAAGAGATCTGTACTTTTGCTGCAAACATATCCTGAGTAAGGTGAAGCCTAGAGGGGGCAAAGTTATGAAAACTTCGTAGACCTTATCAAATACCTTCAAGGAATGAGTTGCTTTAGTGAGGGAATAGGATCATGGTCTCGGGAAACACTCGAGTCGACTGGTATAGCATAGTCCACAAAGACAATGTTCTACATCCAACTTTGGTGAATGGTAGTGGTGGTGGTGATGTGCAATGGAGTCAGTTCCAATTCATAGCAACCCCAAGTAGGGTTTCTGAGGCTGTAAATCTTTACGGGAACAGAAAGCCTCATCTTTCTTCCATGGAAAGGCTGGTAGTTTTGAACTGCTGACCTTGGCATTAGCAGCCCAATTAGTAACCACTAAGCTACCAGAGCAGTGAGTGATGAAAATTGGAGACACTTGAAAATTATTAGTCGAATGGACTAATGGACCATGTAAGTATCAGTCCCCACAGCCTGAGACCAGAAGAACTAGATAGAGCCTGGCTACCACTACCAACTGCCCCAACAGAGGTCACATAGCAGTCCTGGATAGAGTGGGAGAATATGTGAAACAAAACTCAAGATCATGAAAAAGACCAAGCTTACTGGATAGAGACTGTTGGAACCCCAAGACTATAACTCGCTGTCACCCTTCAGATCTGGAACTGAACTTACCCAGGTGGCTCAATTTTCAGCCAAGCGGTAGATAGGTATACATGGGGGATGATAACACTGGTGAGGTATGCAAACTAGAGAAGATTAAAAGGGCATCATTTACTCAAGGACAAAATTTCAGAGGGTTGGGAAGGAAACACAGAGGGAGGGATAGAAACAGAAACTATAGGGAGGAAGGAGGATAAGAGATTTACATGGAGGGGAATGCAATCATTGAGATTAAACCAAGTGTATGATTTGTTGAATATAAGCCTCAAGAGCTTCTCTGTAAACCTTCAATTCAATTCACAAGCTAAAAAAACAAAACAAAACAAAAAACTATGACTAAAAGAGCAAGGCTTAATAAAATTCTTATTCTGAAGTCCTGAATTTTAACAATACTGGTATTCATAAAACATTTATTTTAATGATCTTAAAACAGTTTACAAATAATAGAGTATAGTTTAAATTTATAATCAAATCCAGTGGCAGGGCTGGGAATATCACTATCCCTCTTTTATGCCATCAGGAAAAATGAAAAGTTATGTAAGTTATATAGGTGGAGAGAATTCTGAGAAAAGGCTGGCAGAGGTAACACATTTTATAACTTCTCTGAATTCCAGCATTAAAACAGCTAAAATAATTAGATAGCAAAAACCAAAACCCCATGTTCTACATTTAAAACTTTTAAGGCATCCTCAGGAAACCCCAACTATAAACCTGGTTTGAAGTTTTTGTTGTTAAAGTACCACCATGTCAGTTCTGACTCATAGCGACCCTATATGGGGTTTCTGAGGATGGGCTGGTAGGTTTGAACCACCGACCTTGAGTTTAGCAGTTCAGTGCTTAGTTTATAGTACCATGTAAGGTTTGAAATTAGGAAAACAAAAGAAAAAACTACCAATAGTAAAAAAAAACCTGAATGATAATAGCATCTGTATGGGAGAAAAGAGAGGCAAGCATGAATATCCCAAAAGAAGAGAAGTACCTGAAAACAGGAAAACCATATAAGAACTCACAGGCATTCATTTTAAAGTATGATAGGTCAATATGAGAACAGCATCTGAAAAAGCTTTTATCCAACATAACAATCACTGTTCAACTTTCAAATGCAGGTGAAGCTACTAAAAATACCCTGGCTTGGGTCAGGCACACTGTAGTTGGCAAACTGACATCTTTGTTCTTCAATACTTTAAAGAGGTCTTGTGCAGCAGATTTGCCTAATGCAATGCGTCGTTTGATTTCTTGACTGCTGCTTCCATTGGTGTTGATGGTTGATCCAAGCAAAATGAAGTCTTTGACAACTTCAATCTTTTCTCCATTTTACAGTGATGTTATTTATTGGTCTAATGGTAAGGATTTTTGTTTACACTGAAATTTAATCCACACAGAAGGCTGTGGTCTTTGATATCATCAGTAAATATTTCAGCCCTCTTTGCATTCAGTAAGGTTGTATCATCTGTGTATCACAGGTAGTTAATGAGGCTTCCTCCAATCCTGATGCCACATTCTTCTTCATATAATCCAGCTTCTCACATTACTTGCTCAGCATACACATTGAATAAGTATAGTGAAAGAATACAACCCTGGAGAACAACATCCTGATTTTAAATCATTCAGTATCCCCTTGTTCTGTACTAATGACTGTCTCTTTGTCTATACACAGGTCCCTTATGCATACAATTATGTATTCCGGAATACTCATTCTCCACAATGTTATTATCCAAACTATCGAAAGCCTTTGCATAGTCAATAACACACAGGTAAACATCTTTCTGGTGTTCTCTGCTTTCAGCCAAGATCCATTTGACACAAGCAATGATATCTGTCTTTCCATGTCCTCATCTGAATCCAGCTTGAACCTCCAGCAGTTCCCAGCCAATGTTATATTGTAGCAGTTTTTCAATGATCTTTAGCAAAATTTCACTTGTGTGTGATATTAAAGATATTGTCTGATGATTTCTGCATTCTGTTGCATCACCTCTCTTTGGGACGAGTACAAATACAGATCTCTTCAAATCAGTTGGCCAGGGAGCTATCTACCATATTTTTGGCATAGATGAGTGAGTACCCCTAGTACTACATCAGTTTGTTGAAAGATTTCAATTTGTATTCTATCAATTCCCTGAGTCTTGTTCTTTGCCAACGTCTTCAGTGTACCTTGAATTTCTTCCTTCAGTATCATTAGCTCTTAACCATATGCTATCTCTTGAAATGACTGACCATTAACAATTTCTTCTTGGTACTCTGACTCTGTGTATTGCTTACATATTCTTTTGATGCTTTCTGCAACATTCAATAGTCCATAGAATCCTTCAATATTGCAAGGTGAGGCTTGAATTTTTTTCTTCAGTTCTTTCAGCTTGAGAAATTCTGAGCATGTTCATCTCCTTTGGTTTTCTAACTCCAGAACTTTGCACTTTCTCTTCTCCAGCTGCTCTTTGAAATTTTATGTTCAACTCTTTTATTTCCTCATTTCTTCCATTTGCTTTTGCATCTCTACACTGAAGAACAAGTTTCAGAGTCAAACCTCAGCTTGCAATACTGAAGGACTCTATGGACAAAATAGGAACTCTGGTAGTGTAGTGATTATGAATCAGGCTGCGAACTGCAAGGTCCGCAGTTTGAAACTACCAGCTGTTCCACAGGAGAAAGATGAGGCATTCTGCTCCCATGAAGATTTACAGCCTCGGAAACCCTGTACAGGATCGCTATGAGTCAGAACCAACTCCACAGCACACAGCCACCAGCCAGTCATATACTGAATGATAATTAAAGCAGATACAATAGTACATTAACAGAGACATACCAGAAATTGAAGTTGGGTTCAGAAGAGGGTGGAATGAGGTATGTCATTGTTGATGTGAGATGGATTTTGACTGAAAGCCGAGAATACCTAAAAAATGTGTATGTGTGCTTTATTATCTATGCAAAGGCTTTCAACTGTGTGGATTATAACAAACTATGTATAATGTTGCATATAATGAGTATTTCAGAACCCTTAATTGTATTCAGGAGGAACCTGTACATAGAGCAAGTGGCAGGCATTCAAAGAGAACAAGGGTATACTAAGTGACTTAAAATTGGGAAAGGTGTGGACCAGGGTTGTGTTCTTCACCATACTCATTCAATCTGTATGCTAAGCAAACAATGCAAGAAGCTGGATTATATTAACAAGAAAGTGGCATCAGGATTGGAGGAAGACTTATTAACAATCTGTGATATGCAGGTGATACAACCTTCCTTGCTGAATGCGAAGAGGACTTAAAATACTTACTGATGAAGAGCAAAGACAGCAGTCTTTAGTATGGTTTGCATCTCAAGGTAAAGAAAACAAAAATACTCATAACTGGATCAATAAGTAACATCATGATAAATGGAGGAAAGATTAAAGTTGTCAAAGACTTTGCTTGGATCCACTATCAACACTCAGAGAAGTACAGTCAAGACATCAAATAATGTATTGCATTAGGCAAATCTGCTGCACAAGACTTCTTTAAAGTGTTCAAGGACAAAGACGCCAGTTTGAGGGCTAAAGTGTGCCTGACCCAAGCCATGATATTTTCAACAGCCTGTTATGGCATGCAAAAGTTAGATAGTGAATAAGGAAGATCATCGAAGAATTGATGTATTTGATCTATGGTGTTGGAGAAGAATACTAAAAGCATCATACATTGCCAAAAGAGCTAACCAATCTATTGGAAGTACAGACAGAAAGCTCCTTAGAGTCCAGGATAGCAAGAATTGTGTCTTACAATTTGGACATGTTATCAGGGCGACAAGTCCTGGGAAAAGGATATCATGTTTCGTAAAGTGGAGGGTCCGTGAAAAACAGGAAGATCCCCAACAAGATGGATTGACACAGTGGCAGCAGTAATAAAATGAAGCATAACAACAATTGTGAGGATGGCATAGGACCAGGCAGTGTTTCATTCTATTGTGCATAGGGTTGCTATGAGTGGGAACTGACTCAAAAGCACCTATGACAATATCATGCTGCATTTATTGTTTAGGAACTAAAATAATTTATTACTTTTCATGAAGTTTTATGATACAGTTATGTAATTTTAGAGTGGGAAGATACTTGAGGTCAACTGTCAAATTTAAAAATCTTTTAATAAAGCCATCTTGTAAAGAATAGTTACTCTTTGGTTACAACTGGTTTGTTTCATACCCACAAAGGGCAGGAATTGTCAAAGTCTGCTACTTTAATAAAATATAACGCCTAAAATAATGTTGAACTCATGGTGTTTCTGATTATACAAAAAGTACATTGTGAGATGCTCAGGCACATGAGTAACAATTACCTTTGTATTCTAAAAAGTCCATGTAACAGAGTGTTATGAATGACAGAATGATAGACAAATCAATTTTAGGGGTATTTATAATAGAATTTTTTCATTGTCATTAACCACACTAACTTCCATAAGCTTAAAGCCCATAAAATCTATATCTACAAAAGAAAAAGAATTTTCCAGGCTATATATAGTAGATATAAGACAGAAGTAAAAATTAAGCTGACATTCCATATAATAAGCTAAATAAATGGACTATATTCTTTTACTATTTTTTTTAATTACCTTTCTCAGATCAGCATCATAAAAAGAAAAGAAATTCTAGCACCCAGATAAAGAACTACACTTACATCAGAATTTGTAGCAATTAAAAAATTAAGGCATTCTATATTAGAATATGCAAATTGAGCAACCAACACTTTATAAAAATTCTACATATAATTAACACCTTGGTATTAGTGTCTACTTCTTCCTTGATTCTCTTGGACTGTAAACAGCTCTCTTCAGAGTTGGGGAAACATCTCTTTTTGTTGGAATCACATGAAAGTTGGCACGGCATTCTGCTGTCATCATCTTTTTCCAGAATTTCAATTGCCATGTGAATAAGGTACGTGTCAATGTTAGCAGGAACCAATGTTCTAATTAGTTTAATTTTGTTTATATCTGTGAAGATGAAAAAAATAAGCTTTAAAAATAAGTATGCTGACCATTTTAGAAAGCCTATGAGCTGGAAATACTGAAATATTTTGTACAAATGCCTATAGTCCTAAAGACTAAAAATAGAGTGAAAATGTGTGGCCTCACTACACCACATCACTATTATTGAGTTTGCATAAATTATGTTTCAAATTGTCTTTTGTGGGCTGCTCTGAGAATTTAAATCATTCACAGAATTGTTTCTAAAGAAAAACGTGTTTCAAATTCCAAATATAAATTAAAAATTATGGTTTTGAAAATAATTATTTCTTAAAATAGATTTCTAAAAAGATGCCAGTGGGAAGAATCCTTTCAACAGATATTATAATGCATGACAAAAGACATCAATTATTTAAAATGCATATTAACTAGATGAGTATTTCTGGGAAACACGTTTTCTTTTCAGAATGAAAGAATTTAGAGCTTTTTGAAACTCAACACACAAATTCCAACTGTTGTCAGTTTCTTCACACCTTCTATAAATTATGCAGCAATCTCACTATAGACTACTATTTATGTTTCAAGCAGTTCTTTCCAGTATCACATGCATTGGCAATGCTCTATGGTAAGGTAACACGAAGCAGTTTAGAACCTATTCACTCATTTTCTTGTAATCTGCAAAACTATCAAACATTTTTAACACTTAATTCAAATAACCAAGAGATCAAGTACTTTTCAGTGCCAGTTGAAAAGGTGGTCTTTGAATTATTACAATTTTCAGGTTTGTATTATTCCTTTCTTTCAAAGACCTTTACCTTAGGAAGATCTTATTCTAGCACTTCCTAAAAAAAACATTGCAGTTTAAAATAATTTTTTTTTTAATTCAGAAAGAGAAAGTTACACAGATAATTAAGAATTAGGACAGTAAGCTATCTAAGTACTCTACATATTCTTTCCCTAAACTGTAAAACTAACCTTTAATTAAAGCTTTTAAATGTTCAACTGGTGCTAATCAAAGTCTTAGAAAGATAAGACTTCTATATATAATAAAATTAAGCAAATACTTCAAAGGACAATGGAATTTTCCCAAAAGTTCATGGAAAAATTCCATTATCCTTTAGTTCCATTTTTCCACAAACTTTTTAAAGCCCCCTTGTATCTGTCAATCAAATTAAAATTTTACTTGTCTCTTGATCATTTCACCACCATAACTAGTGGTCATCAAGTCAAATCTGACTAATGACTTAATATGTGCTATACTAGAACTGTACACTATAGATTTTCAATGGATGATTTTTCAAAAAATACACCAGGCCTTTCTCCTAAGACATCTTCAAATGAACTTAACCCTCCAATCTTTCCATTGGCAACTATTGTTGTTGTTAAGTGCCCTATAGTCAGCTCTGACTCACAGAGACCCTGTATAGGGTTTCTGAGGGACAGCTGGTGGGTTTGAATAGCCGACCATGTGGTTAGCAGTCAAGTGTTGATCCTACAGTGCCACATCAGGAGTTAGCAGCAGAACACATGTACTTATGCATCAGAAAGTACCTTATGAGCTCTCTTACATTTGTCTTCAATTTTTCATTGAAATGAAATGCTCTAATGACATCATATTACTATATATTTCTATACTTTGTATACTCTTGGTGTGGTACTGCAGGATAATGTACTAGACTGAACAGTTGGTTTGAACTGCCCATCTTGCAGTTCAAACCCACCAGCTGCTCCTCAGAAAGCCTATACAGGGTCACTACGAGTTGGAACTGACTCAACTGCAATTAACAACAACAGATCCCTAGAAGTAGCTTAGTGGAAAACAAGCTAGTCTGCTAACCGCAAGGTCAGCAGTTCCAATCTACAAGTCTCTCCTTGGAGAACCATGAGGCTTTTTGCTCCATAAAGATTGACAGCCTTGGAAACCTAATAAAGGATCACTGTGAGTTGGAACCAACTTGACAGCACACAACAACTACTACTAGATCCCTAAAATGAAGTCCTTGTGTGTTACTATAGGATAAGCACTGAACTGCCAACCACAAGGTCAGTGGTTCAAACCCAACAGCCGCTCCTCAGAAACCCTACACGGGGTTGCTGGGAGTAAAACAGACTGGGTGTCGCTTAACAACAACAACATGGTAATTCTAGGTGTAACGTTTAGTGGCAATATCATTGGCCTTAAATGTAATCATTGTGAGGATGCAGGACCAGGCAGTATTTCCTTCTGTTGTACATTGTTGTTGTTATGTGCCGTAGAGTCAGTTCCAACTCACAGCGACCCTGTACAGGGTTTCCGAGGCTATAAATCTTTACGGGAGCAGAGAGCCTCATCTTTCTCCAGAGGAACCGCTGGTAGTTTCGAACTGCTGACCTTAAGGTTCGCAGCCTGATTCGTAACCACTACGCTACAGTGGTAACTAAAAGTCAAAACACACTTGATGGCTCCTAACAACAACAACAGATCCCTAGAATCGGGGCTGCTAGTTTAAAGGTTAGACATACTTTACATTTTGATATACATTGCCTAGTTACCTACAGAATTATGTTAACCAATATATTAACCATTAATCAATCAACATGTATTTTTTATGTAATTTAAATTAAGATTAAACTTTATAAACAGATGATCTATTGTTACTAGAAAATTTTTAAGTTTATCTGGAACAAGTAGGGTATGTGAATCCATTTTTTCCCCAACTTTAAATTATATGAATTCTAAATACAGATGAAGTATTTCAAATTAAAATTTAGCACCCAAACTGAGATATGCTATAAATGTAAAACACTTACTGATTTTGAAGGCTTAGTGCAAGAAAAAAAATAAAAGATCTTATTTGTACTTTTTAACACTGATTACATGCTGAAATGATACAATTTTGGATATATTACACTATATAAAATATTACTAAAATTAACTGTAGGCTTATTTTTACTATTTTTGTGCTACAACTAGAAAAATTTAAATTGTATATAAGAATACAGTTCACATTATATTTCTATTATACAGTGCAGTTCTAGATGAAGCAAACAAATTTGCCCATACTCAAGGCAACTGATACAACTGTATCATATAAATTCATTTTCTTTTGTGGGTATTTAAAATTGGATAAACTACAGTTTAAAATTTTTGTCACACTGTAAATGTAATATTTACAAACCAATGTGTTGGGGGGGGGGAAACACCATAAAGTTTTGAATTACAGTAGTATCATGGGTTAAGAAAATTATGCTAAGAAGAAAAAATGTCTGAGGTATTTTATTACATGTTAAATTCTAAAGTTAGAATGTCGTCTTTCTATAATATTATGATATATTAACATTGGCCTATGGTATTAAAACTACTGTTGATTCAATAAATATATAAAGCTACCATAATGTAATTAGAATATAATTGCTATATATAATTTACAAATTCATCTATTTACTTAGGTATTTCTCTAAGTACCCTTTATATGTCTGTTAATCTTAAAAGCTATATATTTGTGAATAAGTATTGTCCAGATTTAAAATTATAATTCATTCTGTCCTAATTTACTATGTAAAGAAGTATTAGAAACATAAACTGGAGAATTAAAATATGAACATTGTCTACAGCCTTACAGTGTTTTAAAAGAGATCATATTACCCCTGTTTTCATGGAAGGTCCCTTGGAAGCAACTCTTAATTTTCCAGTTACATGCACATAATGATTGAGAGAATGGAATTACTAAAAATATCATCTAGGCATATCACTAAATATCTTTGTTAATTTACTATTAAGCATAGTTAGTAAATAATTCCATAAAAGTGAAAATTATATAAACATGGGAAATAAGAGAAACTGACCATTAAAGGATTAAAAAAAATTGAATTATTTTAAATATTGAGTCACATGAAAAACTTACCTAGTAAATAAGATAGCTTGAAAATAATATTTTTCACAGATTCATGCTCTATTTTTAGGTATTAAGATTATATCATAATAATAAAATATAGAAAATTCCTCAACTCAGAATTATGTAAAATTTAAGTTTCAATCAAATGTGTTCATCAAACACATAATTATGTACTCTGATTATACATTTAAAAATAGAAATCATTATGTATATCATTTTTTTATCATTTATAACGCAATAATATTTTCTCCAATGAGAACAAAAATATTAGTACTTTATTAAGGAAAAATAGCCTAAAAGCAAAATCTCATGTCAATACATAATATCTATGGATTATCAATGCACTATCAAAATAAATAAAATTTATATCATGTAGTTTTATAAACTTCTTAACTTCCTCCATTAGCTTTGGAAGCAGGCTAGAATAATACACTTTTTCACACTATGTTGTTGTTGTTAAGTGCTGTTGAGTCAGTTCTGACCCATAGCGACCCTGTATAGGGTTTCCGAGAAGCAGCTGGTGAGTTTGAACTGCCGACCTTGTAGTTCAAACGGATTTGCAGTCTGGTGCATTACCTAAATACAATGTATTAACAGAATGATGAAATAAGTGTTTGAAAGTGGTCTATTGTGCTCTGGAGTTTCAGTTTATTATCTCTGGATGAAGATTTAGCGGTTACGAATTAGGCTGCTAATTTCACGGTCAGCAGGTCGAAATGACTAGTGGTTCAACGGAAGAAAGTTTCTCTTCCTGTAAAGATTTACAGCCTCAGAAACCCTATACAGGGCTGCTATGAGTCAGACCTGACTCCATGTCATATAATCACCACTACCCACCATACTCTGTGTAAGAGGGTAAAGACATACGTTTTCAACTAATATTTAGCCAGAGTCCTGGTGTGGTGCTGTAGGATAAGCACTAGACTGCTAACTGCAAGGTCGGCAGTTCAAACCCACCAGCTGCTCCTGGAAACACTACTGACTCAACTGTACTTAACAACAACAACATTTACTCACTAAAACCAAAAACTCATGGCCATTGAGTCAACTCTGACTCAGAGTTTCTGTAGGACAGAGTAGAACTGTGCCATTGGGTTTCCAAAGCTGTAAATCTTCATGGAAGCCGACGCCGACGGCCACATGTTTCTCCCA